TCAAGGGCTCTGGGACTCCATTTCTCCACATAAAAGACACGGCAGGGACTTGGAGACTGGCTGAAACTGTCCCTGCCCTAGGTCCTGCTGATCTGGGCCATATGAACAAAGCCCTGTAGCATGTAGGGAGCTGGTGAAGTCTAACTGTGTAGACAGTCCCTCCCTGTCACCCCCAAGTCCCTGGGCAGGAACTCCACTCCTCTGTGCACGGACTTGGTGTCACCGGTTCCAAATCTCCACGGCCTCAAGTGTGACCGTTGCCAGGGAGCAGAAGAAGCAAAGAATGCTTCCCAAGGCTCCCCAGGTCTGGGCTAGTTGTCTCCCACAGCCACCCCCGCTGAGTTCTCACCACTCCAGCTAGAGGCTTCTAGGGCCCAAGGATGGCAGGCAGGCACACCTACAAACACATGCCAGGCCTCCAACACATACACACCTGTCTGGCATGCTGACCTACTTGAATGCACGCCTGGTGCACTCACCCACAGACACACACCTGGCCACACTTGCCCATGTGCCCACAGAGAGTAGACCCTACACAACACAGGCCTTATGCACATACACACCCCCATCCAGACTAGTGTGGGATATGCAAATCCACCTCCCACTTGGCCATGCTCGAACTCTGTCCGGTGGCTCCAGGAAGTACGAGCTTTTTTCTCTTCTCTTCTCTTCTCTTCTCTTCTCTTCTCTTCTCTTCTCTTCTCTTCTCTTCTCTCCTTCCTTCCTCCCTTTCTTTCTTTCTTTTCTTCTGGGGGTTAAGCCTATGACCTCACCTAGGCTGGGCAGATTTTTAAAAAATTATTATGATCATGTGTGTATGATGGGCAAGGGGTAGGTCATAACATGTATGCAGAGGTCAGAGGATATCTTGTACCAGTCAGTTTTCCCCTACCATGTGGGTCCCAGGAACAGAACTCAGGCCTTCAGGCTTTCCAGCAAGCACCTTTACCAACTGCATCTCGAAGGCGCATCATTTTTGTTTTGTTTCTCAGTCATGTGGTCCAGGCTGGCCTGGAACTTATTATGAAGATGAGGCTGACTTTGAATTCCTGATCTTCCTGCCTCCATCTCCCAAATGCTGGGATTAGGGGAGAGTGCCACCTCTCTCCTCTCCTCTCTCTCTCTTGACATTGTCTTTCTCTGTAGCCCTGGCTAGCTTAGAACTTGCTCTATAGACCAGGCTGGCCTCCAAGTCACAGCATTCCTCCTGTCTCAGTCTCCCCGGGGCTAGGATTAAAGAAATACACAGTATAAGATAGCTTAAAAAGAGAAAAAATACTATAATTTTATTCTTAAATTTTGGGGTGGGTGGGAGTTAAGACAGGGTGGCCCAGGCTGTCATGAAATTCATGACGGTCCAATCTGACCTCCTGAGTGTTGGGATGACATGCATGAACCACCATGCCTAACATGGTAAAATATACATATATATCAAAACATTATTATTCATCCATTCATGTACTTGCTCACTTTTTTGTTTATTTTGGTTTTCTTGGGACAGAAACTCACTAGGCAGACCAGGCTAGCACAGAACTCAAAGCCACCCTCCTCCTCCTCATCCCGACTGCTGGTATTACAGGCAATGGAGTGCATCACCACACTTGGCCAAAAGCTATCACTTTAAAAG